ACATGTTCAAATTGACAGATTTTACCTGGATCAAAATGACAATCAACACCAATTAAAACTACTTAGTTAGCACACATACATAGAACCACACATCTTTAAATAGGCAAACTATGGATCAATTAACAATTGAAATTTAAAAAAAAATAATAACTTAAAGTTTAATTTAAAATTTTAGTTAAAATATTCTACATGTCTTGAGTCTAACTAAACCCAAAATAAAAAATAAAAATAATTTTATAAATAATGGAGTAGAACAACTGAAATTTCATTAAAATTGGCAGTTTCAAAATGTACGTGTTTCTTTAGAGAAACTAAAATAGAATTAGAAGAAAAATGATGTTGTTTGTAAGGCATGATGGTTCATTATTATTCATCACAGCTTTAGGCTAAATGCAAATATATTCAATCTGTCATTCAAACAAAGATTAAAAATGCGAAACCCATGTCAATATTGATACATGTAGGATGTACAAAAAATCAACCTCAAGGAGGAGATGGTGGGGAGATTGAAAAGGTTTAATATATTTGGTTTTGAGTAGAATAGAGAATCCACCAACATATATAGCTAAAGTTGCACCAAACTTTAAAAACACATTTAGTTTTGTAGAAGAAGAAATGCACTATTAGTTTTGTAGAAGAAGAAATCAGAAAATCAGAAAATGACATTTTTGTATTTCTAATCTCTATATAGGAGCCCATGTATTAGCAATTTTTCTTTTCTTTTTTCTGTCACAGTCAAATTCTAAAGCGGCAGTACTACATTGATGCAATTATTTTTTCATAGCAATCTTGACTTGGTCATGTATATTTACATCTTACCAAGATTTTTTCTTCTTTTTATTCAATTATTTTCTGATTCAGGATGCGACATTATTACCAAAGTGGAAGGCATTTCAGACAGTCATATTCCTTGAATGGATGAGATGGATGGGTTATTAATGAATGGTTTTTTAAGCTGCAGGTTGTTACTGGATAAGTCAAGAATAAGGTTTAGAAGTGCTATTTGTTTGCAAAGAACTCTAGTTTTGGTTTGATCGCATAATCATTTGGGCAAAAAAGGTAGTCAAGAAATCCTGTGTGTGGTTCTTTCTGCCACATGCTATGTATCGTACCTGTGTGAGTGATTTCCGACCACACTGCCAAACAGGTACCCAGCTAGAGAGCACCGGCAGAATAGATTAAGCCTGAACGACCTGCAACAGAAAGAAGAGTTTTTGGCGGTGGCTCGTCCACCCGGGGGCACTCCGACGATCAAGTCAGTACTCAATATCTCTCAAAGATAACCAATAGTGCTTAACTCACTAGATAGAATATCAAAAGCATACCTTAGACCCATTGGGGTGCCTCTCTTTTATAGCAAACTCAATCCTAGTCCCAATATATAGGAGCCCATGTACGGTCACAGTCAAATTCTAAAGCGGCAGTACTACATTGGTGCAATTATTTTTTCATAGCAATCTTGACTTGGTCATGTATATTTACATCTTACCAAGATTTTTTCTTCTTTTTATTCAATTATTTTCTGATTCAGGATGCGACATTATTACCAAAGTGGAAGGCATTTCAGACAGTCATATTCCTTGAATGGATGAGATGGATGGGTTATTAATGAATGGTTTTTTAAGCTGCAGGTTGTTACTGGATAAGTCAAGAATAAGGTTTAGAAGTGCTATTTGTTTGCAAAGAACTCTAGTTTTGGTTTGATCGCATAATCATTTGGGCAAAAAAGGTAGTCAAGAAATCCTGTGTGTGGTTCTTTCTGCCACATGCTATGTATCGTACCTGTGTGAGTGATTTTTCGACCACACTGCCAAACAGGTACCCAGCTGGAGAGCACCGGCAGAATAGATTAAGCCCGAACGACCTGCAACAGAAAGAAGAGTTTTCGGCGGTGGCTCGTCCACCCGGGGGCACTCCGACGATCAAGTCAGTACTCAATATCTCTCAAAGATAACCAATAGTGCTTAACTCACTAGATAGAATATCAAAAGCATACCTTAGACCCATTGGGGTGCCTCTCTTTTATAGCAAACTCAATCCTAGTCCCAATAGAAGCCTAACTTCAATGGACTTAGAATTATTGCTAACCTTGGACTCCTAGTTGGATTAGGATAAACTCTCTAAGAGTCTTATCTTTACCCAAACTGAAGTCTTCTCCCATTCTAGGACTCTTGTCCCTTATCCGCTTTATCTCGGGTTCTGGTATTGCCGCAGAATACCTCAGCAGTGCCCCGAATATCTCGGTAAACATGATCTGCCCACGTAGCACCTCGGCTACCAACCTCGGCCACGTAGACTACCCAAAAAATATGTCCCCACAACTGCCCCCTAGGTTCTATTACCTCGGCAAACTGAGGTGATGGAACCTATATTATCTCTTTCATCTAGCACATTGGCTAAGCTTGCTTCATCATTTATTGCCGAAGTCAGAACTTGTCGGCTCAATATGACCCAGACCTATAGTCTACTTTCATCAAGGCTTTGGAACCAATAACCAAATTCATTCAAGTTTCTCAGCCGAAACTATCCTTCTAGCCGAGGTATTTGTTTCATTAAATCAAGAACTTCAAGAGTTTTCTTCATGCGTATGAGCTGGTACGTACAATTTTTCAACCGTTTCTGTCACGCATCTTTCCTCTATTGAGCCGTGTCTGATATGTGTCATTAAGTCACCTTGCATCTGCGTATTTGATCAAAATCTCTTCACTCTCTCCATCTTTTCACTTCTGCATCTTCGTTTTTGTTTAAACTTTCTCTTTCAAATCCTCTATTGCTGCTTTTACGAAGCTTTCTGCAACCAGTTTCACTCTCCCCTCTGGCGAGGCTTTTGCTGCACTTCCTTGCTTACGGCCACCATCTGATCCCGGCGAACTTTACTTCGGCTTCATTGCTTTACTCGTTCATGTCTTTTGATCATTTAACTTGTATCTTGAATTTCACCATGTACTGAACATGTACTGTCTTTGAACCTCTTATTTTTTTATTACTCAAACAATTTATTCTTCAATGTCAGGCCGAAGTGCCTTCTTTCCTTATTTGAATGCATTCTTTATCTTCTTCTTTCAAGTGTTTTGAATGTTTGCCCTCTTCTTAATGCCTTGTATGATTCCATACTTATAATACAATTTGCATGTCTTCAACATACACCTTAACTGTGCAATCTCCCCAGGTTAACATAATTCGGCCAAAACTTCCGACCTTGCTTATCTCGGTCTTGGTTTAACACTTGAAAACATTGTAACAAATATTTTCACAAGTGTTGCTTTTACTTCTTAGGACTTTTGTCTTCCATTATCTTCCAAGTCTTGGTAACATAGTCACCTCGGCACGTGTATAGATACTTCTATAACCTTGGATTTAACTTTAACTTGTAAATTTTCTCAAAATTTCAACAAGTGTTTTAACATTATCTCGGTTTTAACTTTAACTTGTAAACTTTTCAAGTTTCAACAAGTGTAAAACATCATCTCGGTTTAACATCAACTTGTAAACTTTTCTTAAGTTTTAGCAAGTGTTAAACATCATCTCGGTTTAACTTCAACTTGTAAACTTTTCACAAGTTTCAACAAGTGTTAAACATCTTTTCGGTTTAACTTCGACTTGTAAACTTTTCTCAAGTTTCAACAAGTGTTAAACATCATCTCGGTTTAACTTCAACTTGTAAACGTTTCTCAAGTTTCAACAAGTGTTAAACATCATTTCGATTTAACTTCAACTTGTAAACTTTTCTCAAGTTTCAACAAGTGTTAAACATCATTTCTTCTCTCTACCCCCTAATGTGAACCTAAGTTCCACTTGGGGTCTCATTATACATGTACTCCAGAAACAACAAATATAGAAGAAGTCTACTAAAATTTTATTCATTATGTCGGCAAATAACAAGGAAAATCTAATGATAGAAAAACTTCAGATTACAAGTATTGCAGGGTCTTGGCAACTCTTTGCCCTCATTATCTTCAAGCCGATATGCCCCGTTGCCCAATACCGAAGTGATTCTGTAGGGTCCTTCCCAATTTGGGCCAAGCTTTCCCTCCCTGCGATCTTTCTTGTTGCCAACGACTTTTCTCAAGACTAGGTCGCCGACTTGGAACTCCCTTGGGTTAACTTTTTTATTGTAAGCCCTGGCAAGCTGCTGTTGGTATGTTGCTAACTGAATTGCAACCCTTTCCCTTCTTTCTTCTAGTAGATCCAGATCTCGGGCTAAGAGTACATCATTAGTCCCATTCTCTACTCCCTGGGTTCTGACCCCTGGGATGCCGACTTCAAGCAGAATGACAACTTTTGTGCCATAAGTCATGGCAAAGGGGGATTCCCCTGTTGATCTTCTTAGCGTAGTGTGATATGCCTAGAGCACACTTAGTAGTTCATCCACCCACTTTCCTTTTGCGGCCTGCAACCTCTTCTTTATCCCATCTAGGATAACTTTGTTGGATGCTTCTGCTTGACCATTGCTTTGAGGAAAGCTTGGGGTTGAAAAGTAGTTCTTGATCTTGAACTTTGCACAGAAGTTCTTGATTAGCTTGCTATCAAATTGTGTTCCATCGTCAACAACTATTGCTCTCGGAATCCCAAATCTGGTGATGATGTTTTTCCATAAGAAGTTCTTCACGTCTACATCTCGGATCTTGGCTAAGGGCTCAGCTTCTATCCACTTGGTGAAGTAATCTGTTGCTACCAACAGGTACTTCCTTTGTCCAGTTGCTTGGGGTAGTTGCCCAATGAGATCCATGCCCCATTGGGCAAACAGCCAAGGACTGGATACTGGGTTCAGGTCTGCTGCTGGCTGGTGTATCAGTGGTGAAAACCTTTGGCATTTTTCACACTTCTTGACATAGGCTTCTGCGTCTTTCTGCATGTAGGGCCACCAATACCCCTGGGTAATGGCCCTATGGGCTAGTGATCTGCCCCTGGTGTGGCTTCCACAAATTCCTTCATGTATTTCATATAAAAAATCTTCAACTTATGACTGGTGTACACACCTTAAAAGGGGTCCAGTGAAAGATCTTTTGTAGAGATGTCCTTCTACTGTCAGACTGAATCTCGTCGACTTCAATATGATCTTGTGTGCCTCTTTGTGGTCATCTGGCAGCTTTCCTTCCTTTAAGAATGCCACAATTGCATCTATCCAGCTTGGTCCCATATCCACACACATTGCTTCGTGTTCTGCGATCGATGGTTCAATGCTCGGGCCCGACAAGTATTCGACCATTATCGTCCTTGCTTTTCCAGGTTGTATTGCACTGGCCAGATTGGCTAGTGCATCGGCGTGACTGTTATCATCTCGGCTGACCTGATCTACCCACATAGCACCTCGGCTAATAACCTCGGCCACGTGGACTACCCAAAAAATATGTCCCCACATTACCAAAGGTCACAAACAGTATCATACCTTTATGCTTATGGGAAGGAACTTTGATGAGAATACATTTTCTTTAGTGCTGGCCTTCTCTTTGAACCTCTATTTCAAGTTTTGCGTTATGATTGATATTGGTGACTACTCAATTGACACGTTGATGACATTCACACTTGTAATGTTCTGCATTAATGAGGGATCTGATGTTGCTTGCATGTTGTTGATTTGTTTGCTTTTCATAGGACAATGGCTTTCGTGATTCAGAAAAAATTGCTACATTTGATTTTGATGGGTGTCTTTTGAATACATCTGTGAAAAGGTATGACAATTTATAATGATAAATGAGTTACTCTGAAATTTTATAAATTTAAATTATGGCAACGTATACTTTAAAAAGCAGGCTTTAGTATTAGATGATACTCTGATATGCCATGTATTGCTTATTCTAGTAAGTATTTCAGGTGATACCTAATTGAACCAAGTAAAGTTGAAGATTAATAAAAGTATCCGTTGAGAAAATAAACAATTGGTATTTTGGACTGACTCTATTTGAATTGGATTATCAATAATTTGTTTGAACGAATTAATTTAAGGACTTTTATTGATAGGGGAAGATGATTTTCTTCATTTCAATATCAGTTTTCATACTTATTTATAGATGTAGAATATCCAAGAAGAAATGCACTTAGGTATTAAATCTCATAAAGTGCAACAATGATTTCAGCAACCTTTTTTCTCTGGTGTAGAAATTATGAACTATAAAAGGAATCAATCTTTTTTTTTCTTTTTTTGTGGTTCAGAAGACAAGAAGCATACCTCTATACATATCTATATACAAACATATAAACATACAAATACAAATACAAACATACATATACAAATATACCTCTAAAAATCTTCAATAGCCAAGAAGGTGGATGCGAATGGAAGTGCCCCAAGCGGCATGCTTTAAGGACATTAATTCATCAGTGATGCGTTGACACCTTCAAAAATAAAATAAAAAATGAAGATTAAACAAATCAAATTCTCATTGAACCCTAGAATTATAGATTAACTACAAAAATTTAAAAACAAATCAAATTAAATAAATCAAACTCATATGACAACCACCATATAAACATGTCAAACATCAACCAAAATAAACAATTTCATAGCCTCACTCTCACCTTCCGTCCTAATAATCGCCGCTCGATCAAACCCAATTTCCTGCTCTACTTTGGCTACCATAAATTTCGACCTCTCTGTCTCCCGTTACTCTACATACTTCTGCTCTACGGCCTTAGAGATCTCAGCCCCATACGACAAATGCGTGATCGCAACATCATCGAGAATGATGTTGAAATCCTTAGCATGATGAACCAAGCTCTCGCGGAATAATGCAGAGACGTTGGGACGCTCAGTGAAGAGCTGATCGACGTTGAATTGAGCGAGGACAGCCTTGAGGACTTCGTTGCCGATCGAAGGAAAGACTTTCTCGTCCTATTCGAGGCCTAGGGTTTGGAAGATTTGGGGAGAATTGAGAGACCTCGGGGCGAGAGAGCACACGGAGGGTTAGGTTAACCATTTGGAGGTCCTTGGTGCCGAAGATGGAGGAGAAGGTATGGGGGTGAGTTCGGATGTCGAAGATTAAGGCTTTTGGAGCCATGGGATGAGGGTTTGTGAGAGAGAGAGAGGGCTTTGTTTAGGAACAAATTAGCTAGGGCTTTGCTTCAAAAAGAAAAGGCAAAGCAAATTAATTAGAGAAGAGTATTGTACATGTTTAGCAAATTCAATCTTGGTGGGTGCTTTAAAGAGTTGTGACCATCTCAATTGTGTGGAAGAGGCGAGAATGTATTGTACATGTTTAGCAAATTCAATCTTGGTGGGTGCTTTAAAGAGTTGTGACCATCTCAATTGTGTGGAAGAGGCGAGAATCTAAGAAAGAGGGAGATTAATACCCTCTGATGTTCCATTCTAATTAGAGGAAGACAAGATAGTCATTTTGGGAAAAAAAAATCTTTTTTTTTTTTTTGTGTTTGGCACCCAAAATTTCATTTTGGCCCTTTTTTTTATATATTTTTTTTTATCATACAATTCACGACTTGCATTGTGCATCGTAAAAAGGTAATACTTTTAACGGCAGGCGATGTGTGCGTCGTAAAAAGTGCAATATTTTTAACGGCGGGCGTTGTGTACGCCGTGAAAAGATAATTTTCACTGCTGGCGTATGTGTGTCGTGTATAATTGATGTATTAACAGCATGCCATATGCACGTCGTAGAAAGTTTTATTATTTACGGTGTGCATTGAAAGCCGTAAAAAATCATCGTTATTACCATTCACGGCCTACGTAATAGACACGCCGTGGTTGGAAAAGTATTTACAATGTGTAAAAAAAACAAGTCGTAAAAGTGAGAAACTACGGCGTGCATTTATTGTATGTCGTTGATGTGGTGCCATAAAAAGTCAGTTTTGTTATAGTGTATGATATTTGGGAGGAGAAAGGAAATGTACTCCATGTTTAGGAGAAGAAATGGATGGACTCCATTGAATTAAGTTGGCCTGTGTGTCCGAGGTAAAAGTCTCGAAAAACGCACGTATACATGGGTGTCGATTCCCACGGATGAAATTTCTGTAAAATGGCAAATTGAAGTGTTTGTGTAATGGTTATATTGATTTGGGAACCACTGAGTTGTAGCCTCAGTTGAATTGTCTAGATAACAATGGATTTGACTCATGAATTGAGAGAAAATGAATTGTCATGAAATAAATTAAGATAAAACGGATTAAGATGTGACACTTGGCATATTATGATCTTGTAAGAAAACGAATGAGTTTAACATGGGCATTGTATATGCATATCATCTTTATATCTTTGTTGAGATTCATATATTGTGCTAGATTATTTCTACTGGACTTTGGCTCACCTTACTTGGGAAAAACCATTTTCAGGTTCTGGTGATATGCCTCTGCCAAGGACTTAGCTTGAGAGGATTGTGGAGCTTAAGTCTCACTTTTGTTTATTTTGTATTTACCTTTTGTACAAGTCTAGGGCTTTGTTTGTACTGAGCTTATGACTCATTTTGTTGTAACCAAGCACGGCCTTGGAAAGATGTAAGCCTTTAGGGCATATGAATATTTGTTTAGCTTTCATTAATCTACTATTTGTAACACATGCTGCAGATTCAGGATGAGTTATTTATGAATTTATATCGCATGTGTCACATTTTGTAAGTTAAAGTCTGATTAATGAAAGCATGTTGTTTTGATTATACTTCCGCTTTGAGATGAGTCTATCGTATTTATTTTGGGACGTTACAATTTCATAATCTCCTGATACTGATCAAATAGTCATACATTCAATAAGAAGTAAAGAGAGAAAGAGAGAGAGAGAGTAACTTCGTACTGGGAGATGGCATCATTGAACGTGTTGAATAGGGCAGAATCATCCCAGAGATCGCATTCCTTCTTTTCCATACCCGGTGGAAATCGCCAATCACCACTGAGAGAATGAGAGAGACAGTCAGAGATGAAGGAGCCGATTAACTCAGTGGCGATGAATTGAAGGAAACTCCCCTCAACATTATTGAACACGGAGTCTCTCTCTCTCTCTCTCTCTCTCTCTCGCTCTCTTCTATGTGCCTTTTGATGAACCCTAGCTTTCTACATTCCTTTGATTAGAGGAAGCCAAAGAGTTACTCCTGTATTTTAATTTTTTTAAAATTTGTGTTTTGGTGTTTGGCGCCAGATTTTTTTTATTTTGGCGTTTTTTTTTTTCTATCATAGATTCAAGACAAAAATTGCATGCCGTGTAAAGTAAATATGTTTAATGACATCCATACGCGTGTCGTATATATTTAATGTATTAACAACTTGCCTTACACGTGTCGTAGAAGCTTTAACTATTTACAGCTAACATTACAAGTCGTAAAAAAATTATCATTATTAGAATTAACGGAGTAGGCAATTGACATGTCATGGTTATGATATTATTTACGACATGCAAAAAAAGAAAGTCGTAAAAGTAAAAAATTACGACTTGTATTGATTGTATGTCGTTGATGTGATACCGTAAAAATCCAGTTTTGTTGTAGTGCCCAAGTTTACATTTTTTTAATAAACATGCATAAATATGTACATATTTGTTATTTTCATTATTAAAGATATATATTTATCAATTTAAAATATATTTACATAAATAAGTTGGTCAAATAGCTCTTCAATTTGTATTGGTCAACTTAATCTTAACATGACTCGTGACAGTTCAATTATCCCATAGAATTCTAGAGAGAGAAAAAAAATGCTCTTACACTTTAAGGTCAACTTAAATTTATCCTATCACATAAATTAGATATTTTTCTAAATCGCAATGTGGCACACAGTAACTCGAGTAATATTTCTAATATAGCTATTGAAATAAATATAAAATTTAAATGTTTCACTTCATTTCTTTTTCAGACCACATTGCGTTATGTGGGGATATATTTTATGAGTACCAACACGTGGCCAAGGTGACGCCGATGTGTCAGCCGAGGTGCCACGTGTCCTGATTGTTATGCCGAGGTCATCTCGGATAGGCCGGGGTTACCTCCAAAGATATCGAAATCCGAGATAAGCGGATGAGGGGCAAGAGTCCTAGAATGAAAGAAGACTTCAGTTTGTATTAAGATAAGACTCTTAGAGAGTTTATACTAATCTTACTGGGAGTCCAAGATTAGCAGTAATCCTGAGTCCATAGAAGTTAGGCTTCTATTGGGACTAGGTTTATGTTGGCTATAAAAGAGAGACACCCCCATGGAGCTAAGGTATGCTTTTGATACTCAAGCTTGTGAGTTTAGCACTTGATTTATCTTTGAGAGATATACTGACTTGATCGTCGGAGTGCCACCGGGTGGACGAACCACCGCCGGAATCTTCTCTTTCTGTTGCAGGTCAGCCAGGTGCCATCTATTCTGCCGATGCTCTCCAGCTGGATACTAAGATTACAGTGTGGTCAGAAAATCACTCACACAATTTGGCACCGTCTGTGGGAAAGAAAGAAGAATAGATGGCCAATGAAAGAAAGAAGAATAGATAGCCAATGACGGACAAAAGGATCAGATTGGAGACAACGCTCCTGCTAAGAGTGGGAGACCTATCAACCTCGACGTTGAAGGGGATGACCGCAACACAGAAACTCATGACCAGAGTCACGAAGTGAAAGACACCGGCCCGAAAGGTGACGCACCAAAGACAACAGATCGAAGCAGATACTACAACGAAGATGACCTCCAGGTATGGAAGGATAGATACCTACGGAGGAACGAAGACCCTTCCAGAAGGGATGCAAAGACAGGGGTCATGAGCGCTCCCAAGGATGTAACATTCAAGTATAGAAAAACTCATCCTAAGTGAGCAGATTCCGGATTCTAGATCCTGGATCCCGGATCCTAGAAGACATGATCTCGGCCTAGATGAGTAGGTCCGAGAAGAGAAGAGCTCAACCTGAGTGAGCAGATCCAAGATTCTAGCAGACAAGATCTCAGCACTTAAGTCCAAGAAGAGAATAGATCAGTGAGCAGATCTCAGATCCCAGAAGATAAAAAAAGAATACACACAAGGTTGGACTGCAGTTGGCTAGGTTGAAGACCTTTTATAAGGTTCGCAAAGGAGTATGTGGAAGCCATGCAGGGGGCAGAGAGAAGAAGAATATGTTTACCACTTGTTGAAATTTGTAGCAATTTACAAGTTGGTTAAACCGATATGATGTTTACCACTTGTTGAAATTTGTGGACAATTTACAAGTTGAAGTTAAATCAAAATCATTGTTTAACACTTGTTGAAATTTGTGGACAATTTACAAGTTGAAGTTAAGCCGAAATCATTGTTGAACACTTGTTGAAATTTGTGGACAATTTACAAGTTAAGTTAAACCGAAATCATTGTTTAACACTTGTTGAAATTTGTGGACAATTTATAAGTTGAAGTTAAACCGAAATCATTGTTTAACATTTGTTGAAATTTGTGGACAATTTACAAGTTAAAGTTAAACTCAGATTATTGTTTAAACACTTGTTGAAATTTGTAGCAATTTACAAGTTGAGTTAAACCAGTATGATGTTCAACACTTGTTAAAAGTTTACAAGTTAAGTTAAACCGATGTGATATTCAACACTTGTTGAAATTCTGTGTGAATTTACAAGTTGAAGTTAAACCGAGATGATGTTTAACACTTGTTGAAATTCTATATGAATTTACAAGTTGAAGTTAAACCGAGATGATATTTAACACTTGTTAAAATTCTGTATGAATTTACAAATTGAAGTTAAACCGAGGTTATATTTAACACTTGTTGAAATTCTGTGCGAATTTACAAGTTGAAGTTAAACCGATGTGATATTTAACACTTGTTGAAATTCTATGCGAATTTACAAGTTGAAGTTAAACCGATGTGATATTTAACACTTGTTGAAATTCTGTGTGAATTTACAAGTTGAAGTTAAAACGATGTGATATTTAACACTTGTTGAAATTATGTGTGAATTTGCAAGTTGAAGTTAAACCGAGATCGTATCGGAAGAAGATTGATTTAAACACTTGTTGAAATTCTGTGTGAATTTACAAGTTATAGTTAAACCGAGGTCATATCGAAAGGAAGATGGTTTAACACTTGTTCAAATTTTGAGAAAAATTTACAAGCTGAAATTAAACCGAGGTTATGATAAAGGATGATGGTTAAAACACTTGTTGAAATTTTTGAGAAAAAATTACAAGTTAAAGTCAAGCTCAAGCTCAAGCAATATCTGCGTACTTGCCGAGACTACCAGGTTGTCAAA